CAAATGTTTGCCACACTAAAGGGAGATGGTGGAGGTGGGAGAGGTGGGGGTTGCCCCTCACCATTCACAGGTCAGGTACTGTGTTTTATGATGGAACATGCTCTCTGTCGCCAGATTTATGCACATGGACAGCAAACACCTCCCACAAACCAACCTCTGAAACTCACTAAAAAGGATTCCCAGTTAATTCTGGATTTACCGCACAACATGTTTAGAGCAGGTATTACAGATATACACTGTATGTAGTATTACAGGCTAGGCTGCCTGGATCCTGTGATAATAAAAAATACAGGAAGGCAACTAAAGTGGTGGTGGGGAAGTTAATAAACTAATTTATGAATGTCTTAACTCTCATTTAACTCACATTTTAACATTTAAGTCTTGACGCAGAGCCATTCAGCCTGATCTGAACCATCCAATGTTTAGACAAAGAAGTCCAACCTCTGCTCGACTCTAAATGTTTCTCTTTGTCTTATCATTCAGTCCTCTGCTCCATGCACTCCTCCAGCCTTCTCGCCTCCCAGGACTCTCTCCCTGTGCAAATATTTCAGGGAGCAGGCCTCAAGTATGGTGAGGTGTTTTGGGTGTCTCTTTAGGTGGGCTGCAGCTGACGATATGATTGTGTGGTCAGCACTGCTTAGCACAGACCACCCAGCAGGCAGCTGCTGCTATAATGACCTATAGGCCAGCCAGGAAACAGGAAACAGGAAGAAGAAGGCAGGACATCCTGTTCATCTAGATCAGTGTGTTAAACATGACATCACGAAAGCATCATTCTTTAATGAAAAATACCTGATCAGAGGCCAAATATTCTGTTGCTCTGCCCTTAAGTCACCTCAGCTCAAATACATTTCTATCTACGTTCTCTCTCTGTGTGTGTCTTTCTCTGTCTTTCTGTGCATCTGTCTCAGTTTGTCTTTTCAGCACTCACACTGACACTGTTTTCCAGACTGCTCCATCATCCCAGACATCAAATCCTACCCTCTTCAGTGTGAGAATAAAGAAGAAAAAAAAATACACGCATTTCCATTTGAATATACACCAGCAACAACCTCACAAACCTCAGACAAAAAAAAACAAAAACACAAAAGCACAAACATTCCGCCGCGCAAACAGACGGAGACACAAACTTGGACGCACGCACACACACCTCCCAGACACACAGCACATACTGACAGACAGACACACAAAGAAACAGCAAACACAAAGCACAGCACAGCCAAAAGTCTACTTTATGCAGAAATATTCTAAAGTGTGTTTTACAATACAATTAAACATCAAAGGCTGATATATTCCTCTGTGATCTTTAACACCCCAGTGAACAAACCCCATACACCCCCATCCACTTACAGCATACAGAGAAAGTTGCTGAACGTCACCGCTAATTACTAGATAGAGACAGGAGAAGACTTTGCATCATTATGCAAAAACCAGAACATATTAAAATATATACATTCAATCCACCATAAACCATTCAAGGACTGTGTTATTTACTTTAGATTATTATCTTTTAAGTTTTGTGAGTAATTGCAGCTCTTTTGAAGATATACAGACAGTGCTCCTAAGCAAAGAAATACTTGGGTAAACATTTCCAACATGCACAACAGTTAGGACAATGAAAGGGGGATCTGTTCAAAATGAGTAAATAAACACATGGTGAGGTTGAGCCCTGCACTTTTCATTAATATTATCAAAAATATATGAAAAACGAAAAAGAGACTTTTCCTCCCATGTAGCAAAATAAGGAACACCTGCTCTGTGCAATAAACAAGAATACAACAAGCCCCTGAGTTATTATAAAACTTAAGTGTTTTCATCTGCTTATAAACAGACAAGAAAAAGTTATTCTAAGCAAATGGCTTATCATTTCCACATTATTTGTGTCAGATACGTTTGCTAAAAAGAAGGTTTATTTTTTATTCTATCACATTTGGATTTTAGGTGTTCTCTGTAGCAGTTATTTGACAGTACATAAACCAAAATATACTGCATTATTTACAGGATATACAGTGGTGTCTCTTGACGGTTTAAGATATTATGCTCCGTTTATATGAGGTAAATATGAGTCTCTACAATTGACTCTTATATTACCTTCTCGTTTGAGCCAAAGGGCATGAAGTCCAATTACAGTACTTCAATATCGAGCTGCAGATCTTGCCAACCTGCAATCTGCAAATGAGAGTTTTACTGATGTTTAACTGAGCAAACTCTGCAAACCCCTTCCAAAATATTTGAAACCATTAGTGAAAAAAAACTTTAAAGCATAGCAAAAGGGGCTATTAAATTATTTGCTTAAACATAAATGCTTCTGATGTTTCCGTTAAGAATAATGTTTTCATAAATCTGGTTTTCCATAAGTAGGAAATCTTGAAATGTGCCTTCTGTACAGTATTAAATGTCTATGCTCAGGGGTAGTACAGTGACACACTTTACTCCTTTTTAAAAAAAAAGATACAAGTTTGATACCACAGATTACACGGAGAAGTATTCACACATTAATGGGAATGAAACTAGACATTTATGATTAAAGATTGAACAGTCGATCCTATGCTGATTTTGTCTGAGCACGTTTAAAACACATGGCAAAGCCCTAACCATGGCACACAATGTGTCCCTTCCCTTCACTTAACTAAAGCTTTACTGAGCCCCTGGTGTACAGCAAAGTGCCCTGACAATCGGCTCAATGCCCTGGCCAATCACAGGGACACGTGACCTTCTAATCCCTCTCTGTGAGAAGGGTAAGAGTGTGTTGTCACTGTTGGTTTTGTGAATCAGCGCCCAAAATCCCAAATGATTTGTCAAGAGGGAGAGGTCTTAAGAGAATAAGAGAAACAAAAGTAGCGCAGGCCAGATAGTGTGGGTGTCGGTGTGTGCATGTGTGTGTGTGTGTGTGTGTGTGTGTGTGTGTGTAACAGAAAGACAGACAGAGAAAGGAGGCAGACCGTGCTTTTGTCTATGCATTTGTGTGTGTGGTTGCGTGTGGTTGCAAATGTGTGTGCGTGTGTGTGTGCGTGTGTTTGTAAAGGGTCTCTGAGATTACAGAGCTTGGCTGACAGAGTCCTCTGTGTGTAATCGTGGGTCCACATGCGAGCGCTCACCTTCCTCTGAGCGGATTAACCTAACGCTAAATCCCAAGAGAGCAACAGGCCAGACAGGCCAAACAGAACAACTTCATTGACGATGGGCAAAAGAGGGAAGGCCATCATTTTATATATACATATATCTCTCTCTATATATAAATATAAATATATATATATATATATATATATATATATATATATATATATATATATAACATCATAAAGGATTATAAAAACTAATGGCTAGGCACAGGACACTATACGTCCTCTTAAAATGAATATATATGTATGCCAAGTGTTGCATTGACTTTTTATAAGCTGTATCTTTGTGAAATTCAATCAAGCCGTAGTGTTTGCAATACGCTTTTCACAGAGTCACAAATTGGGTTGATATGCTGTAGTAGACATCAACACTCTCACTTAAATAAAGTACTTTTCAAGATTGCCTTCAAAATATTTCTCTAATAAGCTGTATTTCAAATTGAATAGCTCTTGTAGATCTCAAAATGTGCTGTCAATATTATTAGTTTTGTTAATTTTCTGAAACTGCAGCTATCTCTAAATTAATAGTATTTTATAATAGCATTTTATAACTAAAATTACTTTTTTAGATTTACTTTTTAATGCTTATATTAATGAGCATGAGTTAAATGCACAAAGCCCAGTCAGTTCCACAGTCGGTCAAATTAACATGTGTTCTGTGGTAATTTTATATTTTATAACCATCCTTTGTTCATCTGCACATTTCATTAATGGGCCTAATAGCCACACTTAAAGTACAAGGAAAACAAATTCAATTTTATTCATTATTCAAGTTATAACCTGCGAAAGTTGCCACAGGTTAATTATGGTGTCATTATTAATCCTCTCACTGCAACAGGTTCGACTGAGCCACAGGAGACTGAACTAAACTCACCTTATAAATATATCATTCTCGCTGTAGAGAGAGAAGTCTAAACAATCAAAATCACACAGTCGCAGAGAAGAAATTATGATTCAGCCTGAATACGCCAAACCTTCTCTAAAATACTGAATTACAATATGTTACCATTGTAACTCTCTGGTCTGCATGAATTAACGTTTAAACAAGTCTGACAAACTGTGTTCTCCTCTGGTTTGGAAATTATTAATGTTTACATTCTTTTTCTAATATATTTATATAAATTGCATTTGTACATGTTATCTTTATTTGATGTTTAATAAGACAGGGTAATTGTGATCATTAGTGCACATCAGTTTGTTTAGTATATTTAAACAACTGGTAAAGAATTATAAATAACCACAAAGTAAGGCCATCTTATGTGTAGTGAGTTTACCTACATGCTGTTGCCTTACTGAAGCAAATTATCTGAAATTGAATAAATAAAAACTTCTGAATTGCATGTATTTTTTTTCCCATTGTCTTAGACTGGGTGTTTAAACTTTCTTATCATATTATTTATTTAAATTGTATACCTCAGTTAGATAAACATTACATTAAAAACTAGTGTAACTTTTTATCTGCCATCGCATAGCGCAGAAGAACATACTGTATTATGTTATATTAAGGAGGGCAGCCTATTCAGTAGCTGTGGCTTTGGGGCTGTGCGCCTGCATGTGGACATGAGAAAGCTACACAAGGTCGACACAACTGTAACACTACCTTATGCACGCGACAGACCTTGACTCTCTTAATAGACCATAAACAGCTACCTATTTGATGTCAGACTGTAATTATAAGACATAGTTGTCACCGGCATAAGTCGATCAGGATCACAACAAATCAATAAACGCAGTTACTGTACTTTGTTGAGGAAGCAGCGCGCATCAAAATAGACCCACAAGTTTCCTTCTGGAAGATTAAAAATAAAGATCATATGATGCAACGTGTCTTGTGGATGTTTGCGAGTGAGTGGCAAGTGGTGTGAGCGCAGAACTTACTTTATTTCGTATGAAATCTTGTCCGGATGAAGTGTAAGATACAACAAGCGGTCCGCCGGTTGTTCGGTCCGGCCGATTGACAGGAAGGTTGAAGCCGCTGCTTGATGGGGACGGACTTCGTCAAGACGCACTTAAAATCCAGGAGCGCAACTTAGCAGAGGACGTCGCCGGGAGGAAAAAAGTAACCTACAGTACGTGGTTGGAGTCTCTATAATGTCAGAGAAAACTACTCTCTCTCCCTCTCTTTCCCCCTCTCTCTCTATCACACACTCTCTCTCTCTCCGTCTCTCTCTCTTTCTCTCTCTCTCTGATCGGACAGTGTGTGCGCAGGAAGCGGCAAGGACGCTTCGCCTGGTTTCTCTGCGAGGTGCCGGTGAGCGGAGAGGGTCCGGGTGTAGCGATGTAGCGGCGATGGCTGAGGTGGTGCTGGTGTACAGCTGGACGTCTGGAGCTTGCTGGTGAGGTTGAGAGGCTGTTTCTGTTCCTTCCCACAATCCCGACCGAGTCTTTCCCCAAACCCTCTCCTCTCCCAGAGCGAGGAGAAATAATCGATTTTTTCTCTTTTTTTTTTTTTTTTTTGACTCCTGAAAGGGGGCGGGCTCACATTTCCCAACTCTACTTTAATGAAAGAGGCACGGCTCATAATGCTTTATTATCGCGCCAGCCCCGTCAGAGTGGACGCACAATTAACTGCCCAGTGAGGACCACTAGAGGAAGATGATGGGGAATGTGTGCTTTAACTAATGAGCCAATGGAGAGCACGTTAAGTATTTGCAGCCGACTTTAGACAGTTAAATCTCAGTCTCCAAAGTTGGTGTTTTTGTTGTGCAAGACTCCGTTTTTGCCTGTTGTTGCATGCATGTCACATCAAATGGTAAGAATATGTTAAAACATAAGTCAGACATCCTCAAAAACCATCAACAGCATATAGCCTACAGCAAATCTCATGAAAGTGTTTGTCACTTGTTTCAGGAGTATTTTTTATTTTTTTTTAGAAATACTGAATATGCTTACATTGGAAAAAGACAGAAAAGGCAAATCTCTCCACTCAAGAAAATTTAGTATTAGAAAAAAGTTTGCTCTTAAGACTAAATTAATTATTTCTAAGATTAAGGAAATTTTGATTTAAAGATTCATTATTCCATTATGTTGAATGACATGATATTCTTCCTCCATGTGATGACACTTGAAAGGATCAACTCATACATCTTCTTCAGTAATCCCAAATATCATTCACTCTTCAGCATATTTCCTCCATGTCTGTGCAACATTTGCTGCCTTCTCTCTCGGCCGCTACAAACTTTCCACCTCCCGCACACCGCCAATCATTCTCCAGGACCCAGCTATCTCCTACAGATAAGCTCTGACACAGACAGTAAGCATGGGGGAATTACCAAGCCTTTATCCATCCAACCAAATGATTTCAAAACATCCACTCTATTAGTGTGAAGATAACAATTAGAACAGCAAGTTTACCACTTCAGATAAGACACAGACAGGCAGCGCAATGGCTTTCTGTGTTGAGATGTATTCCTGATAGGCCCTGTAATACTGCGGCTCTATTATATTCACATTATATGGGTGCTGTATCAGTTTGAAGATTTTTAATGGTTGTCTTGAATGAAGCCCGTGACACTCTAATGCAGCATCAGGTCTCACTCTTGAGTTTTCTTCAGTTCGTCCTCAGAAAAAGAAAATATATAATCCTGGGCTTTGATTAACTTGGGTGTTTGAAAGTCCTTTCGCGATAGTTTTGGCTGGTCAAAGTTTTATATACAGCGGAAAATCTTTACCATTTCCATACTAAAAAATTAAAGCACAGTGTTTGCCCCTTCCTTTTTTTTTTCTTGTCAGGGTAAAAACAGTTTGCCTCTTTTGTGGAATTTTTATCATGTCATCACCTTCATTTTATTGGAAGTGGGGTATATCCACTTTTACTGAAATTATTAGACTAATACCACTTAATACACCTTTTTGTCAAAATGCAGACAGTGAAGCATTTTCCCTTACGAGCTTAACTTTGCAGTAGCCACATGCCTGTCACTACAGACTGCGTGAAGTGTAAGTGGACACCAAGCAGCACCCTAATCTTTCCCTTCCTTTGAAGTTCACCTGTGAAGCATGAGCCATGTATGCAGCCAACCACCCAGTCAGTCAGTCAGGGTAGGAAATGGCAGGACATGAAATCAGTTAATAAATAAATCAGGCTGGCTAATCTGCTTGACGGGCGGACATTACAGCGTGTAACTGAAGCCGCTGGTGTCCGATGACTCGGGATACCACCTTCACATCACCTGACCTTTTAATCTTTAATAGCAATTCCTCTGGCCCCCAGACCTTCATAATAATCAATAAGGTGTAGTCTGTTAGACACAGTGGGTTCATAAAGGCAACATGGCAGATATCAATGGCATCACATGTATAAAAGATACAGATTCCACACTCTTAACAGACACAATTTCACTAATTCTCAGACTTCTGAGCATGTGCTAATGGCAACTGCATTAAATATGTCACCTACATATGGACACATATTGGTGTGGGCATGATCGTACATACCACGTTCAATGTTCCTTCGCCTGCTGTCTTGCGTGCCCTCAGTCTCGTAGCTTTCTATGCTGTCTGTCAGCGATTCATCGGAGAGGTCCTTTCAGTGTAATGCTTGAGGTTGTCTTTGGTTGGCACCTGGGAGGAGAGGTAACACAGGGAAGCATGAGGAGGAGAAGAGAGAGTGAAATGGTAATTGTTTGCATGAATGTGCATGCACCTTACACATAGTGAGCGGGATCCATGTTAACATCTACAGTATGTGTGTGTGCATGTGTATGTGTGTTTGTGTGTTTAATGGCTATATGAAATTTAAAGAAATAAATGGGGTTGGAGGTGGATTGGATATATTTGAATGGTGAAAAATCATTAAACAAGGCAAACACTGGCTTATGCATATTCATAAATGACTGTCTGACTTGTCTACAGAGAAAAACTTATAGTATATGCTCACACATTAATTGCAAAGAAAGGAAGAGCCTGTATATTTTGCTGTTGAGAGTACCAAATGGGGGTCTGCGGCTAAATCTGAATATGGTAGAAACAGCTCAAAGCTTTAAAGCCAGATTATTGTTACATTGAATTCATTCACAGTGTCATATTATGCCTTTTACTTAGGTACACAATAAGTGCGTACAAACAAGCTGAGTGTGTTGTGGGTTGAATATTGTAAGTTGTGGCATTTGTGTTATCTGGAGCCAAAGTATTTTCCTCTTAAAGCTAGGCTAGGCAATGTTTTTTTATATATTTGTTGAAATTGTCTTTACATCCCGACAGCAATCAATAAATAAATCAATCAATAAATGTTCTGCCACAGCCAATCATTTCATTCCCTACCAGCCTGTCTATCCACCTTCCTGCGTGCACTCTGCCTGTGCACCCATTGCGCATGAAAATGTGTTTTGCGGGAGTGGCTTTCGAGGGAGGCCTCCCACAAAACAATCAAGCTGTCTCTTGCTATTTTCTATAACGTTCCCTACCCCAGCTTTAATTAAAACCAACTAAAGATTATTAGTTGCATGCAATCCCCGAACTTGTGTTTTGATGTGTGTGTGTGAGGTTGGGGGGGGGTTGACAGTCTCATCCTGGTGGAGAAAAATCAACAGTTTTCCAAAACAATTATGTAATTTCAAATATGTCACAGTCTGTATACACACACTTTAGGCTTTTGGGTAAATGCAATTTCGTGAGGTTTGGCATCAGCTGTGCATAAAAAGAGAAGAAGGGAAACTACGACTGCATGTTAAGTCAAACACATAAGTGCGGTTTGCTGATATTGATCTTGCTTGGATTGTTTCTTAAGCCTCTCCTGGCAATCACTTCACAGCATGTGTCACACACACCACACACATGCACATAGCTCGCCTGAAAATGTGTGGTTTTTTGTAACGGAGGGAGAAAGAAAGGAATGCCTCTCTCAAGCAAAAGATAAACACAAACACATTTCCAGGGCAAACAGGAACAGCCCGGGCTCAGTGCAATCTGTTGTCGATCATGTACACGTGAAAACACAATCTGCCTGTCACAGTAGATGATGTTGTCAAGCACTCTGCCTCACTGCTCTTGAGAATTAGCCAGCTATTGCGGAAGCACTACGAGGCACATGGAGTATTTGTTGTATGTCAGATATGTCTGAGGATGCCTCCATCATTATTTGGTATTTACGGCTTTCAGTCATTCTTTCTGTGTTGGTTCCCTAATGAATTTGAAAGACATTTAGTGTTTTGACACTAGATTGATGCTACATGATGTGACGACCAAACTCTTCACAGGGGGTACAGAAAGACCTGCAGGCCGTTTTTACTCATAAGCTCAGCTGGGAATCTATAGATCTTACTTCTGCACTTGTGTGTATGTAGGTGTCTGTGTTTCTTAAGGGTAGACTTATATAGATGTTTGAGGGGCAGTCACAATACACGATTTTAGACTGAAGTCTCAGTACATCATGCTGATATTTAATTAGAATATTATGAATGAATATATAAACATTTCCTCTGAAATGTAATTGAAGACAGGATGGAAAAGCCTCTGAAAAAGCCATCATGTATGATTAAATTCTGCTCCACATATTTAGTTGTAGGAGATATTGGGGAAAATTACACAAGCCTGAAGAAATTAACTAAGCAGTAAAATGAAGAAATAATTCAAAAAGAGTAACAAGTAAGGCATTTATAAAATGATATCTGGATATCCTGCACGTCCTCATACCTAAACGACAGAATAGGTTGTTTGATGACTCCCAAGATGACATATATTAACGTTCCCCAAAACAACATGACCAATGGAGAGTACCAACTAAAGGCGTACCGAACCTTTGTTTTCATGGTTTGGTTAGGTTTGGTTAGGTTCAGGCACCAAAACTTGATTTAGATTTAGGAAAAGATCATGGTTTGGGTTAAAATAAGTAAGTCACATTAGTAAGTCACATGATGCAACTTACCAAGTCAACAGTGACTTTTGGTTTCACACGGGGAACAAATGGGCCTAGGTGAAAGCCCTGTGTCTGACCCATCCATCCATCCGGGTCCAGCATGGACTTTGGCGCTCTTTATACTACCTCACCTGACTTCCTCCTTTGCTCCTATCACAATTGCTAAGGCCTCTAGAGGTCGTGGCCTAACAATAAACTTAAGTGTGGGTTGTAATTAGCTGCTTGCACAGACGATCTATACGGACATATTTTTGGGGAGGACGGTCTGGATAAATCTGTTAATGTGTAATCTGCAAGTGTTAGTGTCATGCAAGCTTGCACTAGGGGTGTGCCATGAGATCTTGCGATATTAACGTGATAGTGACGATTTTGACTCACATTATCAGCATGTCAGTATCAGCATGAAGAGTGTACAACATTGTCACTGTTTCTGCACCACAGTCCATTATAAACCACATAATAGATAAAGTTTATACAAGCGAAACATGTTAAATCTCTCTGACCCTCACCAAAACTGCCCGCCAGCAATAATATCTGGCCAGCGGTGCTTCGACAGAGGCAAAAAATATAGTGATGATAGTGGTGCTGAAATAGATCCCAGTCTTGAATGCATTTTAATATTACGTCTTATATTCTCACCCACGATCTAATGGTTGAAAAGATTGCTCTGATGCACAACTTATTTGCCGACCACTGATGTATTATTACTTCTTCTTCTTCTTCAAATGTACGTATTCTACATGTTGATGAGTGTCTACACTGCCTGAATTCTACCAGAAGTTGAACAAGACGAACGTAGTGATGAAATGCGCTCTGTAGCGCTATTTGGCCCTTTTCAGCTACTGTAGAAACATGACAGCGCAATGTGGTGACGTCCATGGAAGGTTGTGCCCGTGGTTATGTAGATAGAAATGGCTCATTCTAAGGTAATAAAAACATAACGGTTCATTATGTAAGGTCTTCATACACCATTGAAAATATAATTATGGATCTTATATTGCATTTCTGTCAATGGATCCTCGGAAACATTACACACTGGACCTTCAAAAAAAATTAAACACACTTAAAATTCATCTTACATATATTTTTTGTTCATGTTAACAGATGAATATTGTACAGGACTTGATCCACCTGAACATCTGGGCTCTGTTGTCAGGGAAAACATACCTGCTTTAGAAGTCATCTCACACTCTGCAGACAAGATGAGAGACATTTCCCTGCCAATCTGCTCCTGGTATTTTATGTAAGTCATCCAAAGCGTTATATTACACATGATTTGGAGCTCCTTATTAATAAGGTTTATAATGAAACTCAGAGGGCAATATCATCAGTAATTATAGTAGCAGGAATTGTACCATTGTACAGTATAATTAAGGGAGCAAAGGTGAGAAAACCACATTTAATTAACTGAAATCATATGTCCTCATATTACAAAATAATAAAATAACAAATTTCATGCTCCTGAGGAAGTATTTATTTGTACATTCAAATTAGCTTTTGCAATATAAAGGTGACATTCCCCTTCCTAAATTTAGATCGCCTGCAATATTACCTGTATAATTCTACCATTGACAGAAAGCAGTATGTTCAAACTGTTTTTGAAACACGTATAGATTATACATACCAGAGCCTTGTGGCAATTGCTTTTGCAAAATTTGTTAAATGTAAATGTAACATTTTTTTATTTACATGTGTTTTATGTGAAGTATTGCACTTGAATGACAACTTATTACATTCATTTGCTTTGGTCACCTGTAATTCTTGTAGTTTTCTCCAGGAAGAAATTAGCAAAGCAATATTTATATGAAAAAAAGTTCTATCTGCTTATCATTAGCTGTTCTGTTCCATAATAGTATGACTAATTTTTCACTGAAACCATTCAGAGCCTTATTTTCAATAACACAGTTTTCTGTGTAGCTTTGATGTTAACTCTGTTTGGACAGCATGAAATTCACTGCACCAGTGCATGCATTTCCTTGTCCTTAGTAGTTCAGTTAGTTCAGTTTCAGAACAGCACCCTGTTGGCTCAAAATCCAACTTGAATGCAATAATAACAAAGTCAGAAGTCCTCTGAAACTGTAATAGCCACATAACGACCCCCTACCGTGCAGTGTCATATGAGAGACAGCACTGGTGATTTGCATGTGTCGTGTTTAACCAACAGTTTTCTGTCTGTACACCTTTTATGCATTATGGATGAGGCACAAGCTGAACAACAAGCTCTCCCTTTGTTCTGCCTGATGCTCCAGTTACATCATAGGAAAAGCCCCATGGTCCTGTGACTGCGCCGACTGGCTGAGACACAGTGCCGCTGGGTGAGTTGTTGATCAGGCCTGTTGCTTCTTCACTTTGTTGCACTATCTACTATATGTGTAAATGTAGATATGGCCACATACACAGCTACAAACACATAAAAAACATCCAAATAACATTTGGATATTTAAAACCCAAAGAGCAGCTGTTGACTACACATGTTATTTGATTATTCAGGCTTGAGATCTGCAAATTAATTAACTTGATGAATCTGTCCAGACGGCTTACTAATTTTACAATCAAAATTATTTAATGTCATGTATGTCATAAATGTACACATGGCAGGTGTCATCAGTACGCCACCTGCTACATCTGAAAAGTACGTTTTGTCTACAGAGGTGCATTCATACAATCTGTGTAATGAAATGTGCTGCCTGCAGGGGAGCTCTGCATCCTTCTCAGCACAGAATAGATTGGTTTATCACACAGGATAACTGGAGGAATGCCCCATACAAAGTTTAACCAGTATTTTTTAACCTTAGATTATTTTAATTTAGTGGAAAGTGTAATAACAGTTTCATTTAGAGGAATCATATAACATTTAAGCAAAGTAATTTTATTTTTACAGAATTAACTGTCAGTAATTATTATCCCACATGCAAACATTTGAATTATATTCATTTTTTTATTCTAATCCCTGACACTGGCACTTCTCTCCCCCCTCTTATAGCTGTAGCAAGTGTAATTGCCAGACTTTATGCCTGTATATAACGGGCTCAAAGTTCCCTTTGTCTCCACTAGATTGCTTCATGTGAGGGGAAAAAAAGAAACTCACTTTCTGCTAATGATTTTTCCTCCCTTTGAATGGTTGGAAAGTAATTCCCAATGAACTGCTCCAACACAGGCACAGTTATTTCATTGTTCTCGCTGCCCTTTCTCTAATTGTGCCCATAAAGGGGAGATGGTGATGTTACATTTTTTAAATTCTGTTTAAAGGGTGTCCACTGGTGTTTCTTGAAGTGGTGCAAAAGCTGTGTCTGCAGCATTAATAGTGTTAAATATACAGAAATGGAATGAATCCTAAGTCTGAGCTACTTCTATTATCAACATGTGAATATGTTTAAATAAACACAGAACTATATCATAAGGTAAACTTAATTTAATCAAAGTTTGGTTTTGAGTTGCATATTTTTATAATCCTCCCCAGAAAAATTACAGTATTGGTTGTTTGTTTAAAGGCCTAAAATGACTCTAAAGTTCCATTTACCTGACAAGGACCTCTTGTGGCCATGCAAATTCAGACTCTCGTTGGTTTAGGAGCAAAAGTGGCATTAGCATGAGGTTATGTAACGTGGCTTTGACATGGGAGACCGCTGTTTATTTCCCATTGGTTTCTTTTAACCATGACCACAATAGTTCCCTAAACTTAACTGATAGTTCTTTTTAAACAACCTCTTTCCCCAACTTTAAGTAGGTTGTGTGACTATCTTAACCATAGTGGTGGCATGTTGCCCTGCTAATAGTGGAACCAGGTCCACCATTTCTATAGCTGAAGTAAGCAGTGCTAGATCAGTAGCTTTTTAAAAAGAAATAGATGTAGACAAGTATTTCTGTAGTTTCTTCAACAGCACAAGATCACAGTTTTAAAATTTTACTATTTACTTTTTTATTCTTTTACTTATTTGATCACTATTTTTCTGAAAATGTGTTTGACTGACGTGGGCCTAAACAGTAATAGTGTAATACATGTATCTATCGCACAAAATCCTACAGTCATCTCTGTTTCATATTCCCATAGTAACCACTGCACAGCAGAAGTCCCTCCTGCAGCTGTTGACCTCAGCCAATTCCCTTGACAATTGAAGATCACTCAGCATGGCTATGCAACTTCTCCCACACTCTCAACAAGCAGCTGATAGCATCTCACTGTGAAGAAAAGCAAGTGAAGCGGAATATATTGTGTGTCTAAATGAGGGTTCCCCAGCTCTAATGTGTGATAGCGAGGCCTAGCGACCATCAGGCTAGGCCTATGTTACACGTTGGAGCTCGGCAGACGAGCGGCAGCGTCTAAAGCTCTTTGTGCCTCCAGGATCACCCCGACTCATTCTTATTCAGACATGATCAGAGGGGAGGCAGGCAACTGAGATTAGCTGCAGATCAAAGGAGCTGCCTCGCGCCAGCACTCGTGTTTTGTAGATTTAGGCATCCCCAGCGAACAGGCGTTGTATGGTGGCGGCAGAGCGTCATACTGTTTTCTGGCCTCGACAGTGCTCGGGGGGGTAAATGGAAAGAGAGCTTTCATACAGGAGACTGGACTGCTGCTGGAAATCTTCCAGAATTAAATAATAAAGACAATAGAGAATGAAAGGAAAAATAAGAGCATAATGAGTATGCTGTTACTGTAAGCCATTTCAGTGGAACAAAGATTTACTTTCCATGCCATTGCAATTGAAACTGCTTCCATATGTGTAATAGGTCTTGGTTCAGTGATAATTTGTTTTAAAATGAAATACACTTTCTACAGTAACATATCATAGGTAACTCAAGACCATCTGGATCAGTGGTGCCCACCAAATAACCATGGAAACTGACTACTACCCTAACTTCTGCTATAGATTCTGTCAGCGGCTGTAAAAGAATAAACAAACAGCAAAGTACCTCTATGCTGTATCTTAACCTTTCAATTAATTTACACAGAAACAGCTTTTGAATTATGAATGACTTTTTAATGTGTCACAATCCTAACCTTGAATAAAATTTGATTTCTATTATATTCACATTTCAGACATTACCAGTGAAGATAAACAAACATCCCCCTAGCATTCATACCGCATAAAGAAAAACAACAATGTAACTAATAGCAGTGAGTGTGAAGGTGAAATGACAGGATGAGGAGAATTTCAAAGACAGAGAGGCAACTGCGTAAGAGTGCTCGCCACCCTACAGAGAAAGAAAACAACGCACTTCCTCAACTCTGCTGACCATCAAAGCCGTGGAATTCAGGGGCAGAAAAGCTAATAAGTGAGGACTGAGCGGTTCCTGTAAACTGGGTCAAAGTTAATACCAAGAGGACAGTCTCCCCAGGTATCAAATAAGGGACGTGAATGCATGTCTACTTCTATACATCTATACATCTTTTTTTACCTGTGAATTTTCTCTATTTTAGATTGTCACAGTTTGCTCAGAAACTTTGCTCAGAAAAGAAGGAAGTGTTTACATTTTTATCATTAGTGTTAATTAGTAGTTGTGATCGCAGGTTGTCCAATGAGATTCAAAATAAAATCTGAAATGTTAAAATATATATAACATGTGAGCATATCAAACTCAGGAATAATTTTACTTCTCCTCTTATTTTATCCAACAGCTACAGTTGAATCAAATGTTGATGGAAAATATCCAACAGTTATTCACTGCTCATTAAAATCAAACAAAGCCTTTGCTTTGGTATGAAATTCCATTTGGTTGTTTTGGGACAAGTGCCCTATAGTAGCTTTTCTTATGTCTCCTGTGAAGCCATTTGGTTAGGAATACACCCGTTCTGTTCATTTAATATGACGAAAGTTTCTCCTTTGTTTTTAAAAGTTTGCCCAATATGTCTAACTTTAACAGCAAACTGTGTGACACATATTGCTACTGAAGTGTGTATTTGCCTCTTAGGTAGCTACCTCAAGGGAATGAGTCATTTCTAAAGCAAACAGCATGTTGAGGCCATGCTCTTTTCTCTCACTGATAATTCCAGATTGCACAATGAGATGTTCTAAGCAATTACCCTTAAAAGTACCAGTAACCTAAACTGACTGTGAAGAATTAGAAACAGAGAAACTACGCAATAGAACTTCCCACTTTAGTGACTTTTAGTGAAACCATTTGTCTTACCATAGAGAAATAAAAATGTAGACTATTTAAACTTAAACACACCTCAATCAGCTATTCCACAAGAGCTCCAGTGAGGTGGTTGGCACCAGCTGGTACCTGACTCCTCCTTCAGTAGTGTTAGAACCCCTCTCGTGTCTTTTTACTTTGTGAGGAGCAGGAAAAACTCAAAGTAAACACCAATTTATTGTATCGTCTGGCCTTGTTAACACTGGCATATTCTTTTCTGTATTGGGCTCCATGACAAAGACATCATTCACTAAATCAAGCAAGGGTATAATGAAACAATTAGGGATCAGCACTTCAAAATGCATTTCAGAACGGTTCAAACTGAGCAGCTCAAATATCAAAATTATGGCTTAATCTGTTAAACACGTCATGACCCACTGTGCACAGTTTGAAATTGTGAGAGACAGGTTTTCCACTTGCAGCATGAGATCCAGAGGAGAGGGAAAAAGGGAAGGGAATAGGTGTACTGTGAAAACTCACCCTTGCCGTTTCTCTGCTTCCCCAGGAAGTTACACCCAGCAGCACCCGCTAAGGCCCAGCTCAATCAGACAGTTAAAAAAATAATTTAAAAAGTAAGGAAAAGAAAGGAGATAGTGGACAAAAAGAAAACAAAAAAATACCGACAAATATTGCCTAAAATAAATGTCCTGCATGTGATAAAGCCAGACCAGCTGGCTTTGAATAGAAACCCCCAATTTGGGTTGTGTGTTTGCCCCTGATCTCGGTCTGAAGTGACACCAGGTCTGGTTCTTTCCAAACACCCCCCACCACCCCTACCCTTCTCTCTCAGCTGAATCCACCTGTCCCCATCACTCCTGGTAAATTTAGCCTTCTGAGGGATCAGTGAATGACCCCCCTCACCCCCACCCTAAACACACATACACACACACACACACACACACACACCACAGACCTTTGTCAGCACTTGTATATAGGCCCTGGATTATTGCCCCCCCCCCCTCAGAATGCTGCCATCTTCACAGTGGCAAAAAAAAGACACCCCTCCCCTTTTTTCTCCTTCACACTTCACAAGTCTAAACTGTCCAGACAACATTCTAATTAGTTGTATGTTCTTTTGAAACAGAGCTGTTACAGGTGGAGTTAAATATCCCATACTTTGCACAAACGTTCAATTTGTTTCTATAACCTCTCTGTAAACATTTACCATACTGTATTACAAGGGCCAGATCTGTAAGATTTTTATCATGGAAAATCCTAGATTAAGAGCTCATATAAAATGTTATTTCTTGAATTTGACGGCCTAGGGTATCCCAGCTGCAAAACATTAAATCAACTTTGCTATATGAAATACTGTTACCCCTTTCATAACCAACATCAGTGAAATGTTATGTGAATCATAAATAAATTATCCAATGGAAGAGATTAGCAGGCATTGATAGCATCTTGTCAAATGTCAAAATACCAGGTGCAATGGTATACACCTATAATTTGGTAATTATAAGCTCATTTAACTAAGTACATCTATGACTAAAATCCACCTACAGTTATACACTGCTCAGGAAATGTCATTTCTTCATTAATACCTGATAAAAATCATGCATCTCCATCCAAGAGAAAAGTTTTGAGTTTCCCTAAGCTGCTGGCACCTTGACTGAAAGCCATTTCTCCTTCTAAATGATACATTCAGTAGAATGTAAGTATCAACAAGCTTAAATCGTAATATCCGCTGTGACTGTTTTCACATTTGCAGAGTTTTGCAGGGGTGGAACAGGGCTAATTGTATTTTTATAAGGTATTTTCCAGTCAGGTTCTTATACCTGATGCCAAGATCTTATGTAGATAATGACACTGAATGATACACCCAAATTAGTGTTTTATATATCCCTCCTAAATCAACCAATTAATGTGGAGATTGATGATATAAAGGAAAGATGAGCAGAATATAGATTGGTATTTTCCCAGAATACATCCAAAAGAGGAAATCCACTGTAAGAGGAGATAAAACAGTGGTGTTCCCTTGATGATAGGCATTCACACTCTTCTGACAGTGAAATATATTTTGTATCGATCCAGGAGTATTGTTTACATGTTTCTGGGCACAGATAATGAAATAATTTGGTTTTTTTTGGAAATTTCCGTCACCATCACTACCTGTACACCTATACATTGAGGGATCAGTGTCTGCTCTGTCTGGTATTTGTGACGACCTCGTGGGCAGGAATTCAGTGATTTTTTTGTGTGGCGGTGGGGGTGGGGAATGGTTGATGGATGTCGGTGGGAGTTCATTTAATTATGACATCCCTAGATGAGGGAGGGATTCAGTGTCTTGATCAAAGTAACTTTAACATGGTGACATTATTTGTGCTGTACCCACAAAGCCAACATATTGCCTTTGATACCACCGAGCCTGAACAATCTACAACCATTTGCATGTACACACACATCCACATTGTGCTGGGTTCGCTTATTGGCTTGTGTATTTTGGCTAAAGACTTCCTTTGAGTATGCTGACTTGCCAGTAGGGGCCTTGTGAGAGGGTATTTTAGCGCTTCCTTTCTTGTTAATGGGGCTGTTGAGGGACTAAGTTGAGGGACAGAGGACTAAAGCCTGGCTGTCTTTTTATGAGTGTGGCAGGGTCAAGAAGGAGAAAAACAGAGAGCAGCATGGCAGTTTGTGCCACACTGTCGACCACAAGAACCAGCAAGGCTACAGTCAGTAAACTTTAAGAGTACATCCTGTCCTAATCAAATGAGGACTAGCCAGTCCACATAAGCGTTTCCACCAAGTAGTCCAGTCCAGTTCAGTTCCTTACAAATTAGAACGGGTATCTTCGCATTTCCATTGGCTAAGTTCTGGATGGTACCAATGGAACCACTCCATTCTGTTCCATTTTTTTTTAGAAACACTGCAGTCCGTTGATTGGTCAACAGAATCCTCACGTCTCGCGTAACAACTCAATGGACAAACCAGCCATTTGTAAATATCCCATCGACTGCAATGGAGATTAAAAAGTCTTTTCAAATTATTTTTATTTAATTCTGAAAATGCCAGTGTAACTGCTCCCGAGTTGTACTGCAAGGTCCTGACTCAAACCCGCAGCCTCAGGTACAGGAGACGAACATGCTAGCTAGGAGGCTAAATCCATGGGCACTAGCATCATTTGCTACGGCATCTCTTGAGGCGTCAAGGGGTGAGGTTTACTCACTGCACAGCCTAGCTGGCTACCGTTTCAACAGACACATATTGAGAAGAAAGAACACGAAACATCCAGTGTCCTCCATTGTGTTCCAGTGTTCCTTTGTTTACTCTGTCGCGTTTGATATGATGTCAGGCTATTTATGTGTTGCTCTGTCTACATCAACTTAAATGTCTGTGGTGGAAACGCATCTATGATTAGGTACATGCAGGTAAAGGTTAGGTACAGGTTTCAAAGATACTAACCCGAAATATTTGGCGGACACTATACACTCTTTGGTTTGGGTGGAATGATTTTGTGTAGCCTATGTATTTATGTTCATGCATGTTCATTTTAAATATGGAATTCACTCATTAGTGCACATATGTGTGATCTTGTGCATATTAGTGTGTGTGACCGGGGGGTGAGGCCGTGTGTCCGTGCTGTGGCTCACAACACTGTGGGCTATGCCAGTGGTGAAACACAAAGTGTTCTGTCAGCTGAGAGGTGACAGGCGCTCAACAGGAAACGTGGCATGGCGTCTCCTCTGAAAACTCCTTTCACTGTGTTTTATTTTCTCTCTATTTTTCTGTTGCTTTATCATTAAATCATCAACAGAAAATTAAAGTAATTATTGTAATGAACCCACTGACAGGTTTATGTAACTCTGGGTGGATTTATGAGTGCTTTTATAACAACTCTACAGTAGTCTGGGGCAACCCTATAGTCTGGCTTGGAGCTGCTGATAATGAGAATCACTTGTAAGAGTTCATGTGTCCGTTGTAAATTTATTTTAAATAATAATAATGCAGAATACTGTGTTAGAAGTAATGCTTTTTGACTCATATTTGTCTGTGTGTGTGTGTGTGTGTGTGTGTGTGTGTGATTAAACCGTTTCTTTTTCTGCCAACAGTGCACTGCATGGCGTGAGCTGACTTCAGCGTGTCTGCCCAGCCCTCTGCTCCACACAAGGTCGCTCTGTGTGTGTTCGGCCTCGGAGAATGAGGGGAGGCCGCGGCGCACAATCACCACTAAGCACATACCTTTCTGCCCCACAGCCCCACCAGCCCAGACACAAACCTAGGGGCTGTATGTTTATCAAGCGTCTCAGGGTAAGACTGCTGGTTTAGGACCTCTGCTCGGGACACTTTAACCATCATTTTCATCACGAATCACTCTCAATGAAAAGGATTTAAAGCGCTGACTTTAAATCAGCACTCAAATCTGATATGCTTGATAAATACCAGCTGAGGCCTTAACCCAACCCGGACCACAGCAGATTAACAAGGTTTGACCGAACCAGTCCTCTGGAGCTCTATCCTGATGAGCTCTGTTGGTTTTATAAGAGGCCCCCTGTGACAGGATCTGATAAAACACAGCAGGAGGAGGGTTTGAAAGAGAGCTGGAGAGTACAAGAGAGAAAGATTGAGAAAGACAAGGACAATGAGAGACTGAGAGAGTGCAAGAGTGAGAGCGAGTACACACCTCAATCCAAAAACAATATTTAGACTGAAACCTTACCCTCTCCATCTGGCTCTTTTGAAGGGTGGATTTTGACTGGTGCCATGGCTAACTCTTTATTCCACACTGCTCCTTCTGTAGGTCCGCTGTGACATTGTTCCTGAAGGACAGTTGTACAGGAAATAAATGTAGTGCATGACAAAGTAAATTCTATGACTACTATCAGGCATTTAGAATTTTATCACACACTGTGCATAATTTCTAATTGAAATACTGTAAATTAATTACAGGTAAAATGCAGGCAATGTATCGCATATATGCAGAACTTATATTTTCTGAACTTATAAGAGTATTCCTTTCCACTCTTCCTCTCTTCCCATACTGTGATTCAAACTATGGCCTAAGGCACCATCTTTAAAGTGAAGGGCGGTCCATTTGAAACTTCAGCCCCATATCTGCAATTTAGGGGAATCGTCAAAGATATTAGTAAAAGAGTAAGAAAGGGCAAAAATAGGATGACTTCCTGATTAGCCACATCCTTTAAGCTTTCACAAGTAGATTGGACCAAACTCACAATATCAAAAATGAGCATTTGATTAATATTCATGCTTTAGGTTTTAATCATTGACGTTGGATACAGTGCAACCACATCATTCAATTAAATCTCAATGCTGTAACTCACATTTTCTCCTCATATTGCTCTTTGAGTGTTTTAACCCCTGAGTAAACCTCCATGACAGATGTATTGACTTGAAAGCCAATAGGAACTGAGACAGTGATGAACTCGTGATGCCTTTTGAACCCAACTTAACTACATACTGTACCATATTCAGTAATGCCATATTAACTCAATATATGATCACAACTTCCTTTGAAAGTATGCCAAGCAAGAAATTGCCTATTAGTGTAATTTTTTTTTAAACTAAGGCTATATTTAGCATCTGCGCATAAGGAATTTATCCTTAGCTTGTTGAATGAGAGCATTAAAAACTGCATTTCACTGTGTATCTTTGAAATCTAAGTAAGATAACGTAGCACTGTTTGGAAAATCATTAGCGGTATTAATTAATGGACTGTGCATTGTTACATAATTCTACCATTCATATTATATTGCTCATATGTAAACATATAAAATTCTGCCCAATACACTGTACAATGTAATGCTGTATAATTTTTTGGAAATGTATTGTGAAAAAAATTGATGTAATGATCTGAATCAACATTTTATTTATGTTTATTCGCTTTGACTGAGGAGAAACTAAATCATTGGTGATGTCTCTGTGTGTATCATGTCATCTATGGGTTATTGACATCCTTTAAGGGGAAATTATTTGCTTTCTTTATTGCTCCTTATTACACACCCAGCAGTAAATTCACACTCTCACATTTTCCAACCTGTGGTATTTTGTAAGTGATATATCACTTGGATAGCTCATTTTCAATGTCTCTTAAGTACGGGTTCAGCTAGTAAACCACAAATTAATTAATCACCATCAACAGCCAAGGTTTTTATTGTTTTCCCTGTCTATTTCTTTTGATACACAGTATTTGATCCTTTCATACAGTTCGAATTACCGAGGTCTGAAGTCTTAAGTCTTATGTAGTCTGGTGTGTATAAGAAGAAAAATATCTGAGATTTTGCTTTTGTAAATATATTTACTATTTACTGACTTCAGCATGGCTCTGGGGTCCAGTGATTTACAAATAAGGCAATAGCATACACAAGTATGATTTTCTTGTGTAGAAGTGAATTAAGGGACACATTCAAGATATTGGTAGTAATTTACAGATGTAATTTTATGTTGATAAGTCAGAATGAGATATAATACAATGTCTATTCTTGTTTTGTACAACCCTCGCAGCATTGCCAGTAATGTACATTTCAATTAACTATTGTCGCAATTTGTAGTGAGTAAGGATGAGGATCGTTAATTTTTATTGATATTGATACCCTTATTGAGACTGCTTAACGATCGGATTCTTTATCGATACCACTATCGATACTTTACTATTATTTAGTGATGGTTATTTGGTAAGACCAGACCCAACGGGCATGAGGTAGGCCTGCACGGTATGAGGAAAATATTCAATGTGCGATAACGTTATATATTGACATGACATATCACTTGCGATAAATAAACATATATTGAAGTGTACATATTAACTGCCTGGTTGTTTTTAATGTAATATTTTAAATACAGCTAAATGTTGTTTCTAGACAACAGCAAAGTAACTCAATAACTTTATCTGACATCACAAGTATTGAGTGACGTTTTTGAAAGAATAACATCAGTCTGTATAAGTTGCTCCTCCTCTCTCGCTGGCTGCAGGTAACGTTACCAGGTGGAAGGAGGAGCGGCTGGTTTGTCTCTCTGTTTGAGTTTTTAAGACTACAGACCAGTCTGTTCACCAGACAGACAGCTTTCTATTTAACGTTAGCTTGTTTTTAACATTTGGCTAATGCCAAGCTAGTGTTAGCTGTGCTTGTATAAAACATACAGGATGAGATACTGAGGACAGAGATGATTTAATTAACCATTTCTACATGTTTAACGTTACCTTACAGACAGGTGCATTGATAAAGTATTGTCTTTTTACTTGCGAAGGTTTTATTGCACGTACTTACAGTGACGATTGTAGCTGTCGTCAACTAACGTTACAGTAGTTTGGAGCTAACTTACCCCTCACTGGATTACCTCGCGACGGCGCAGCCTCTCGCCCTGCTGCAAGTGTGTGTGTGTGTGTGTGTAGGAGCCGACAGAGTGCAGGCAGAGACTGCAACCTGATGATTTTAAGATCCATTGCGTTTTAAATTAAATCAAATTTGACGCTCGAGACATAATGTTACATCATAGGACCCGCAAGTCTCGATAGCAGTATCGATACGCTCGAACCTTATTGATTTTCAGGTTTTGAGAAATTTTGGATCCCCATCCCTAGTAGTGAGTGATACCTGGGCAACTGTATGACGGCTGAAGTATAATTGCAGGAATAAGTATGTGAACCCTTTGGAGCTACTTGGATTTCGGCATAAATTGTCACAACAATAGACAAACACAGTCTGCTAAAACTAATACTGCACAAATAATTATATGTTTTCATGTTTTTAGTGAACACACTGTGTAAACATTCACAGTGCAGGCTGGAAAAAGTATGTGAACCCTTGCATTTAGTAACTGGTTGATCCTCCTTTGGCAGCAAACTTTTCCTGTAGTTGCAGAACACACCTGAACAATGGTACGTAGGAATTTTGAACCATTCCTCTTTACAAAACTGTTTCAGGTTAGCAATATTCTTGAGATGTCTGGTTTGAATCGCTCTCTTGAGGTCATGTCATGTCAATTGGATGGAGGTCAGGACTCCACTCCAGAAGGTGTATTATCTTCTGCTGAAGCCATCCTTTGTTGTGCTTTGGGTCGTTGTCCTGTTGCATCACCCATCTTCTGTTGAGCTTCAGTTGGTGGACAGATGGTCTTACGTTCTTCTGTAAATTTTGTGATAAACTTTGGAATTAATTTTTCCTTCGATGATAGCAACGCTACCAGGCGTGAGGCAGTGAAGCAGCCCCAAACCATGACTCCCCCTCCACCATACTTCAGTATGCTGTTCCTTTTTTCCTCCACATATAGGGTTGTGTGTTCCTTCCAAAGAACTCAACTTTGGTTTCATTTGCCCTCAGAATATTTTGCCAGCAGTCATGTGGAACATCCAGGAGCTCTTTTGCAAACTTTAGACATGCATAGTAGGGGTAAACCAGGGCGAAAGTAACATGGGACGAAAGTAACAAGGTGATTTTCTCAGAGCCCTGACTGCAATTGCAGTCCAAGCTTTGACAGCACCTTCAGCACGCAACCCTTGATGGAGCTGCCAAATATCGCATGATTTTGTCATCATTTCCTGCAGCCGTCTTCGGAAAACTGTTTTCGAGCAGTGCAAGTAAATTTCTGAAGCGCGACTCTTTTTAGAATTACAAGTTGTGTCTCTCGTTTCATGTGTCACACTAATGATTAATCTACAGGTTATTTAGTGCTATAACACACCCTGAAATTTGCCCTGTCAGAGTTAAATAAATAATTCAGTATAAAAATAAATCGTGTTTATATGTCAGGAGTTCCTGACCTGTGTTTCTTTTGTCCCGCTGCTAATGTGGTGACTTTTCTGTGTTGCCGCATGTTTATGTCATATTATACCAACAGAATATACCAATAGCGTGGTTCAGAAAGACAGAGGTCTGATTCAGCCAGATGTTTGAGAAAGCGTTTCTGGACATCTATTAGAAACATTAGTCTCATGCCATATGCCATGCGCTTTGTTCAGATAATGCAGGAGGAGGGCACAGATAATTGGGGAGAAGACTAGACCACAGGTACAGATCACATTATTAAGTCTTCTCCTTGGACTAGGAGAGGAAGCTGCATGCTTATATTAAGAGAGCAGCTGATATTTATTTTGGCCTGACTCCTAAGGAGGTCAGTGTAGTAGGTGTCAGTAAAAAGAACTCAAAATGCAGATCACTTATACTGTTCTTACTGAAACAAATTCATTTAAAAATGTGAAATTTGTATAGGTCTGTTCTGTAAATAGCTTTTTAATTTTTATCTTTTTTTCACTGTTTCTGAAACTGCTACAACATGCAAATATCCCCAGTGCAGGATCAGTAAAGTCTTATTTTATTTTAATCATGTCAGGTTTGTAAACAATCTCCATCTAACCATTCCCCCCCTGTTTTAGGTGCACAGATTTGCATATTTATATTATATATTTATAATATATCCTTAATATAATATGAAATATTCTAGGACAAAGGATGATTGCAGTTACACATTAACAAGGTCACAGTCATGTTTATTTGTTAAATACAAGTGTAACACAAAAAATCTAGCTTGTATTGTTGTGTTACTTTTGACCCACCTGTGTTTTAATTTTGTCCCAGCTGACGGGGTCGAAAGTAACAATGTGCCACTTATGTTTAAAGTGAAATTATAGGGAAGTCGTTCTACATTTGTACAAAATACCACCTAATATTGATAGACCACACCTGTGAGTTAGTGACCACAGCAAAAATATATCTCTGTCTTTTATCTTTGTCTTTTAAAATCAGGTTTTTCTTAAAAAAAACGGTACTTTTGCCCCTGCTCTCCCCTATTTGTTTAATGGTTTACGTATTGTGGAGTCCTAAACAGAGATGTTTGCATGTTTCAAAGATTTCTGTAAGTCTTCAGCTGACACTGTAGGATCCTTCTTAACATCACTGTCCATTCTGCACTGTGTTCGTGCAGTCATCACTGCTGGAAAGACACTCACAGGGAGAGTAGCACTGATAGTAGTAGTAGTTGTAGACTGATGAACATCAAGGCTTTAAGAACAATTCTTAATCTTAGGTCTTCTGAGAGCTCTTTTGTTCAAGGCATGATTCACATCCGGCAATGCTTCATGAGAATAGCAAAATAAAATTTGTGTGTGTTTTTTAGAGGGCAGGGCAGCCCTAACGAACACCTCCAAACTTGTGTCATTGATTGGACTCCGTGTTTGCTGACTCCTGACTCCACTTAGCTTTTGGAGAAGTCATTAGCATAGGGGTTCACATACTTTTTTAAAGTTTAAGCTGTTTGTGTATTGTTGTGACTTGGAAGAAGATCAGATGACATTTATGACCAATTTATGCAGGTAATTCCAAAAGGTTAACATACTTTTTCCTGCAACTTTTTATTCATACTTTGCTGGACCCTATGATGACAAACGAGTGTTACACTTGCTTATGTCAAATGAATGACATGAGAGAGTACAGTGAAACACCCATGGCTTGCAGATCACAGCAGACCAAAGCCTGAGGGAGTAAAGTGCTTTGGTGCCCAGGGAAAACAAAGTCTCAGGCCAGAGGTTTAGGGTGTTGCCTGGCTCTTCTGTCAACTGCATTTAACATGACAGAACACAACTCTGACTCAGACCACATAGATAGAAAACCTCTGACTATGTCAGGGGAAAAAGGGATATATCAGTTGTTTCATTGTGGCATATTCTGTATGACTGCCACGCATGCAATGGAGTTGAAGTCATAATTTGGTTTAAAAAATACAGAAAGAATTTTAGTTTTGTTTCTGTATTTCTCTTAGAAAATGAGAGAAAAATAACCCTAAGAGCTTAATCTACACACAGACATACATTACACTACATGAAAAAAATATTTAATGTAATCTTAGTTGTTCAAGATTAAATTACTTCCCTTGGCTATGTGTTGCTAGAGATATCCTTAAATTCATTGTGACTATTGGTTCAGACATAATAGAAACTTGTAATTCCTAACTGGGTTTAATGATGGTTTAACATTACAGAGGTTGACTAGTTATTCCGACCTGTACTACAGAGTGATTACTTGTGCTTGTTCTAGCTCTGATTCTACTCAGAATTGATTTTCTCTCATTTCAAATGTCCAGAACTAACTCCCCTTGTGTAGAACCACTAAGGGGTAAAAGTGTTTTGAAAGGGCAGCTCTGGGTCGTGTTTAGTTTCTGGTAGAATTTCAAGAAAATCATTGTTCAAATGTTCTGTACAAAAGAACCCCACCTATACAAATGGTAACAATGAACGTGAATTGATTGACAGAATATACTGTATATATTATCATTATACACTCAGGTTCACTAGAATGTGGTAAGAATCTATATTTTTTAAATCACTCTTTGATTTTTATTGTTGTGGTGAGCTATGTTGATTTTATATGCAATTTTCTCTCAGAAAGTGAGAAAAATATAACCTAAAGACCTTTGTCTGCACACACACATACAGACATACAGTTCATTAAAAATAATCTTTAATGAATTTATTAATTGTTCAAGATTACTAAATTGCTTCCCATGGCTGTATGCTGCTAGAGATACACTTAATTCATTATCACTATACATCGGTTTGACTATATCTTTGTTTTATAAAAAGTAAAAATTTAAAAGGAAAAAAAACTTTGTTTGAAG